GCAGGCTTCCTCCTTCCGGGCCAGGCGCCCTCTACCAAGGGTGAAGTGGCTTGTCCCAGGTCACCCGGCCGCACCAGGACCAGGGCCCTAGGGCTCTGCTCCTTTGGTGGGAAGGGGCCCCCGAGGGGGCGCTGCTGTTGGCCAGGGCCCGGACGCTGGGGTGCAGATGGCAGGTGACTCCGCCCCCCACTCCTGCCCTCGGTCCCAGGAGCCCAGGAGACCGGGGTACCGCAGGCGGCAGCTCACACCCTCGACGCCAGACCTGATGGGCCTGGGTCCTGGTCACCACCGGGGACCCCTGGGGCCCTCGCCTCGGCCCCTACTCTTGCCTCCAATCCACTCTGGGGACAGGGTCTGCACTTAACAGTGAACTGTGTCACCCCGTGTCACTGGCCAGAACCTTCAGGGGTCCAGCAGCATCTCCATGAGCGGACTCCGAGATCCAGCCTGCTCTGGGCCCAGTTCGGGGTGCGGACTCTGTGGGCTCGGACTTCTTCTCCAGCGTGGGCTGGTGGCCCTGCAGGTCGGACGCTCTCTCTGTGGCTGGTTCCCTCGGTATCCAGTCGGGGCAGGAGAGCCCACTCCCTCCCAGACTGGCGAGAACTCAGGAAGCCTGCAGAGTGGGCTACTCCCTGCCACCGACTCCCCCCACAAACGTGGGCCACTGTGTCCTCTGTCACCTGCCTCCTGCCCTCCTTCCCTGCACCCACCCCGGCCACACGGGCCTCTCTTCTTTCCTGTCCTCTCCCCTTCAAATAGTTCATGAGCCACTGAGCATTTCCTGGGGTCAGTGCCGTGCCAGGTGTGGGAACAGTGACACCGCGGATGGCGCTAGCCCAGGCGGGGACGCCCACCAGGGGCAGAGGCCGCCCCGGGAAACCAAGTGCACAGGAGTTAAAATGGCATCAGCCTTCGAATGAAGCTGACAGACGGGAGGAGACTGGGATGCGGGTGCCCTGCTGTGCAGAGGGCTGGGGGGCCTCTGGCTCTTGGCTGTTCCTCTTCTCACACGCTGATCCTGGGGGTGCTGACCCCAACTCAGCCTTGGGGCTACCTCCCAAATGCCACCGGCCCGGGGGGATGCCCGACTGAACTGGGCCCTGCACCCCCTACTCTCTCACCTGCTGGGACCTTTGTACCCGGTGCTGTCCCCACCTGCGGTTTCTGTGTCTGTCCCCCTAGGACTCTGAGCACTGTGTGATGGGGGGCCACTGGCCGGGGCCCTCATCCAGCGCCTGGCAGACGCAGACCTCAAGCAGCGTCTGCTCCTGGATGGGCTTTGCTCCCCTCCGCTGCTGGGGCCTGCGGCCGGGCGCCTGGCTGCAGGCCCTTGCTGCGTGACAGATGGGGCAGGCTGGTGATGTGACATGCAGGGCACCTGCTCTGCATGGGGGTTGCTGAGGGGACCTGCAGAGCCACAGGGCTGCCAGCCGATCTGCTCTGGCTGGGCCCGGCTCCTGGGCAGAGCAAGGAAGCAGTGCCACCGTGCCAGGCTCCGTCTTGTGCAGGGAAAGGGAATCAGGGTGGCCCAGGGCCCCTGAGTCTGGCTGAGAGTCACGAGCTGTCAGCATTTTGGATGTAGGAACACAAACATCCAGGGGAGGGATGCAGGTGCCTGGGGCTGAAACTTGGACCTTCCGATCGCCTCCCCGAGGTCATTTCCGTCCGGGGCCGCCCGGGCTAAGTGACTGAGGTGAAGAGGAAATGACGGGCCAGGTCTCTTTGAAGAGGCAGTTGAGATGAGCGATGTGACGATAAAAAAGGACAAGGCCTCCTCAGGCCCCGAGGAAACACGGGCTGGCACAGGCGGCTGAGCTGCCCGGGAAGCTGTGATCCCTGCGGCAGGGCTGAGCAGGCGTCAGGCGTGGGCCTGAGTCTCTGTGGTTTAAGACTCGGGTGGGGACCAGGCGCCGTGCTGCACACCTGTAATCCCAGCGGCTCGGGAGGCTGAGGCAGGAGGAGTTGGAGGAGAATCTCAGCAACTTAGTGAGGCCCTATCTCCAAACAAAAGAGGGCTGGGGCCGTGGCTCAGTGGTTAGGCACCACTGGGTTCAATCCAGGGTACCAAAAAAAAAAAAAGGTTGGGTGACTTTGGATAAATTATCTCACTTTTCTGAAGACTCACTTTGCTCATCTCTAAAATGGGAACACTAGTTCCCGGGAGGGTCACGAGGGCTCGGCGGCTGCTGGTCTCCACGCTCCTTCCTGTGCCTCGTGCGGGACGCCCCGGGAGCTCTCCAGGGGCCCCCTGGCCTGGCCGTCCTGCATTTTGGCAAGTGCAGGCTGCAGGACGGGGCTGAGACCCAGGACACAGAGACCGAGGTGCAGCTCTGCCAGCCCCTGAGGCCTGCTCGGGAGACACTAAGGGGTCAAGCCAGTTAGGCCCATCTGTGCCTTCAACGCCCGCCACAGCTGGACACTGGTCTGACCTCCCGGCGGTCACCCTGACTGCACCCTGGGGTCCCCTAGGAGCTTTCAAATGCTGTCACTGGGCCCTACCCCCTAGAGGTTCTGAGACCACTGGTCAGGGGTTCAGCTGGACGAGGGATCCGGCGGTTCCCCAGGGGACCTCACGAGCCAATGGGGTCGAACGCTCCTTCAAAGGCCCAAACTGGCCAGAGGCCAGCCCTGGGGGGATGGGGTGCGGAGCGGCCAGTTCTCTGCTGTAGGAGCAGGCGCTGTCGGAAGCTCCCGCTCGCTGACAGGAGCCTCCACTGCAGTGCGCCCCGCCGAGGGCAGGGGACAGCTGCTCCTGGACGGGCAGCTCACCCTGCAGGGAAGGCTGAAGTCCATCCTCCCGCAGCCACGGGCCCGGGTCTGAGCTCCACCAAATCCCAGGGCACAGAGGGCGGGAGCTGGCGCTGAGGTGGGCCTGAGTCCCAGTGACCGCTCCCGGTCAACACTGGCCGGCCTCAGTGCAGGGCAGTGGGCGGGAAACATCCCAGCTCGAGGCCCAAGGGCTCGGCTTCGGAGGCCGTTTCAGAGCTTCTCCAAGCACTGCTGCCCTGGCCAGGTTCGTGCAAGCCAAGGGCGTCTGAGGACCGTCCAGCCCTGTCTGCTGACCGCTCACGTCACTCCACCCACAAATCCACCGACTCTCGTCCCCACCGCCCACCATCTGCCTCACACCCACCCACGGTCCGTCTGTCCATCCACTCATCCTCTGTCCTTCCCACCACAGCTCCCCTCTCAGCGCCCATCCCAGTTCTCGGGTGCCCCGTGCCCAGGCCCTGCTTCAGGATGAGCCAGCCTGCCCAGGGGCGGACTCTCGGGGAGCCCCCACGGGGCCTGGGGAGCTGGGCGGGACGTGCAGGGGACGTTCTAGATGCGTCCCAAGTGACAGAAGCCCGGCTCGTGGGGCACAGAGGCTGGGAAGACGCATCGGGAGCAGTTGACAGTGGGTCCCAATGGGACCGGCCACTGAACGCTGTCCTGGGAGAGGAGACCGCTGGACCCCCGTGGGACTAGGGGTGGGGCAGAGGGGAGGTGAAGCCCAGGGGTGGGGGGACCCCGAAGGCAGAGGAGGGGCCTGCCCACCCCTGGCTCCCACTCAGCAGGGCAGCGGGGAAGGAGCCCGGGTTAGAGGGAGTGAGGTGGACGTTCACATCAAGGAGGGGACAGAACAGACCCAACGTGCTCAGCTGGCTCGAGGCCCAGAGCCGGTCCAGGGTCTTTTCATCCACTGGGCTCAACGGTATCTATTGATGGGCTGTGGCTCCCCAGCCCCTTCCCAACAGCTTGGGCTCACAGGCTCACTCTGCCTCCCCTTTGGAGGGACTCATCTCAGTCTGCCACCTCTCATCCACACCACCCTGGGGACAGACCCATGGTGGTGCCAGCTCTGCCAGCTCTGTGCTGTGTGGCCCTGAGCAATTGCCTTTCCTTCTCTGGGCCCTGGTTTCCATCTACATCAACAGCCACAGAACTGAAGGCTCCACACATCCAGGAGGCTGCTCCCAACTTGGACATGCTAACTTTGTCACCTCTGGTCGGTGGGAAGATAGTTGAGGGTCTCGTTTTGGCAGGTGCCTTGGGAGCTCCCAGCCCCAGTCTGGCTGCCCCTGGGCATTGGCACGTTCACTGAAGCACAGACATCATGGAGGAGGCGTGGGTTTTTGAACTGTGGTTTCTGAATCAGACCGACGGTCACTTCCTATGAGACCTTGGACAAAGACTTCACCTCCCGAGCTCGGGTTTCCTGGCCGGGGGGTGAGGGGGGACAAGCCACTGCAGCCTGTTTCAGGGTGTCTGGGAGGAGTCTCGAGACTGCCAGGCGCCACTGGGGACACTGCTTGTCCTTCTCTCCCAGGGGACTGTGCCAGCCAGCGGCTGATGACCACCCACCCGTGAAGAGCCCAGCGCGTCTTACCTCCAGCGCCTCGTAGTACATGGCTTTGGCCTCCGTGTCGGTCTTGGCAGACATCAGCCAGGATTTGATCAGATATTCATAAAAACTGTCCCCGAGTCCTCCGATGGAGACGTGGTCTGTGAGGGGGAAGAGGACAAGGA